CCACACCAGATGGAAAACTCTACAGACTTATATATATATTGTGACGATATATATATATAACCGTGACCCCTGCGTCGCGCTTAAACGTGCTCAATGCGTTTTAAGGCACGCGCGTGCGTCAAAAAATCAGCGCGCGCGCACCATGGGGTTGCGCATAGGCAGGGGATGTGGTGGGGGGTGTTGCGCATAAAAAAAAAGATGGGTGGTTGGAGGTGATTTTGGGGGGGGTGGGGGGTGGGGGGGGGGGGGGGGGGGGGGGAGTCTCTCTCTCTCTCTCTCTCTCTCTCTCTCTCTCTCTCAGTGTGTGTGTGTGTGTGTGTGTGTGTGTGTGTGTGTGTGTGTGTGTGTGTGTGTTCATGTGTGTGTGTGTGGACAGGCCCGGGCTGGGCGGGGTCTGTGAGTGTGTTTTTTTCTCGTTTTTATGTTTTTCGTTTTTTTAAACATATACGAACTTTGAAAAAATACAAACAAAAATATGACGTCGTAGATCTCCAAAATATCTACAAGACTGTATTTTTTATTATTTTTTTGGTTAATTTTTTGCCTGCAAAAAAATCTCTGTGAAAAAAAAGAAAAACCCACCCATTTCATGTTTTTTTTTTTTTTTCCGTTTATGTTTTTGATTTTTTTAAAATACAGAAAGACTTCAAAAAAATAAAAATAAAAAATACAAGGTTGTAGATCTCAAAAAGATCTACAACCCTGTATTTTTTGTTTTTTTTTTTGCTTATTGTTTTCCGGGGAAAAAAAAACTCCTGCGCCCGCTCAAACCCTTCTCAAGCGAGCGCGGGATTGAGCGGAGCTCAACAATTTGAGCTCCGACCCCGCGCTCAATCAGCGCTCGGTTTCACAGGCCTGACGAGGTTGTGACGGGCGAATTACGTCCTCTCCATGTTTTTCATCTGACATCGTCGAGAGAGACTCTTATGTTCAAATTCTTATTCATCTTGATATTTTAAATGTTTGATTGTTCATTTCGAATGGAAATTTACTGTTGGACTGTAACTGAGTGTAGTTACTCATGACTTTAGATCCCCGGTTGAGAGCAGGAAACACATGTACTGTAACACAAATCTCCACAAATGCTCCCGTTCCCCCTCACTCAGGCGCGCGCGCGCGCGCGAGAGAGAGAGAGAGAGAGAGAGAGAGAGAGAGAGAGAGAGTTTGCTGACCTCTATTCTTGAGGACAATGCAGTCGAAGCCCCTCGCAGTTTTTTACTTTTTTTTTTTGGTTTCATTTTTCTCCCTTTCTGCATTTCTTAAAAATCTGGATGATTTCTTTTCTCTGGTGCAGTAGATTTCCCTCACTCACTGTTCTGCAGAAAGCTCTCTAAGGGCGTTCTCATGCTCGGACTTCTTCTACTGGTCTCTGGACGTGATTTCAGTCAGATACATCCCAGGCCAGCCGTGATTGCGGTGAGATTCATCCAGGGAAGAGTACTGTCCTGAGACTTCCACTCTGCTTA